TATATGTAGATTTTTATTTTTACCAAAGGAAAACATATTGTTTTTGCTACGTTTCCTCTTCTTCTCCAAACCAAAAAGGTCAATGACCTGAATCAGACTGTCTGTTATCATGGTAACTAGTGTTGGTTTACATCATTTATAGCAGGAAGGTTTTAGACTCCTGCCTGACCATACAGTGTATATGAAATATACAAGAAACTAGAAAGGCCGACATTTGCTTGTGAGCAAATACAGCATATTTCAGTCCATCTCCATCCCACGCAAAAGTGGACTATTCCAAACTTAACCCAGTGCAAAACTGGAAGATTCTCAAATAAATGAATTATATAGTAGCTATGTAATTGAGAACAAAGATGCAAGAACAAGTACTTTGAATCTCGAAAGCTTTACTTAATATTTCACATCATACAATCTTATTGCAAGTATGCAGAAAAAGGATTTCGAGCCCTGGATGTACAGTTGTATATAGAATTCCCAGGGCATCTCATTTGTGGAGAAACTACAAACAATGTTCCTACTGGGGCGGATAGGGGTCAGCTCTAGGGGGTCTGACATGTGGTAAATCATTTGGCTTCTGCTATACTCTTTACAATGTAGCTACCATACCGTATTCTAATACGATTGCACTGTATTCCGTAAAGTTGCACTGTATACTAATACGATTGCACTGTATTCCGTAAAGTTGCACTGTATACTAATACGATTGCACTGTATTCCGTAAAGTTGCACTGTATACTAATACGATTGCACTGTATTCCGTAAAGTTGCACTGTATACTAATACGATTGCACTGTATTCCGTAAAGTTGCACTGTATACTAATACGATTGCAGGGTATTGCACTGTATTCCATAAAATTGCACTGTATACTAGTAAAATTGCACTGTCTGTATACTCTGGCACCCCTGACCATGAAGTTTGAACATAAATTATAGTTCCGTGAATATGCCTCAACTTTTCTCAGACTACGAACCTTTGCTACAACGAACATAAAGTGAATTACAATATGCTACACCAATTTCAGCAACATAAAATTATGTACAATATTACTGAAAGTAGTATAAGAGAGTTCTAAATCTAAGGCTATATGTGGGGCAACCCAAAAAAGCTGTTCATAATTAGATATAGGCAAAACTATGTACTGCTTTACGAAAAAAAGTATGATACTTCGCAATATGAGGATACACACGTCTATTTTGGTAGTTACTTTTTTCAGAAGAAGTTGAGAATTGAAACATTTCATCTTCAACATACTCTTTATATGTTGGTTCAAAATAAATCATTAAATTTTAAAAATGCCCCCCCCCCATGAATGTACACTTGCACTACAACTTTCTTCCAACTGTATCTTGTTAACACATGAAGATTACCTACAAAAGCTGTATTTTCTGGCAAGTAATTCTAGCCAGGAAGTCTGGATCCAATTCCAAAACAAGATCTTATCAAAAGCAGCAGCCACCCAGGAAAATAATTCCAAGCCCTTTTCCCTGTATTCCATTAAATTCTGCCTTTGGGCTTAGATAATATCTTGCAGCAGTACTGTAGTAGATTCCATAGCCTGGCTACCACCCTTTAAGGTGAACAATAACTCTAATTACCTTCGTGGAGAAGGTTATGTTTTAGGTACACAATATATAGGAGGGCCTGCAAGGGGGGGTCCCAACAACGCTCTACACTGAATTCGGAAACCTCTCGATTACGCTTTACGATAAATTCCAAGTGTCTAGAACGCATTACGTAGAATTAAAACGGCGAATACGCTCTACGCAAAATGTGAAGAGCGGTCCGTCTACGCTCTACGTAGAATTAAAAAGGACGATTACGCTCTCAGGAAAAGGGCTTGCGGGCCCCCATATAAGGGTTGGCGGTTGGTTAAAACTCGGGCCAAGTATCTTTATGATATTTAGTAGGTACGTTAGGGTTGGGAGAGCAAGGTCAAGGTAAATTATGGATAATCTAGCGGCTTTATAAGGTACTGCAGTGGGGTACATGGGTGTCTTATGTTGAGTTGTTAACATGCTATGGTTTCGATTTTTTTCAGAGGGACATACATTGTTGTAGGTGAGGGCCTGCATGCCCTTTTTCGTAAAGCGTAATCAGGCCTTTTTTTGACATCGTAATTCGTAGGCAGCCTCCGCAAGAATCAACATAATTCGTAATTGGACATTAGCCGCAAATTGTAAAGTCCTAATCAGCTCTGAGACTTTAACGTAATTCGTAATAGGCGGCGAAAATTTTGCGTAAGTCGTAATCACTACCCCCCCCCATGCAGGCCCTCATAGGTGTTTGTTAAATGGGTAGCTGACATAGTTTTCAGTGAAAACGCTCCTTTTTGGTACTAATTTTATGGTGAAATTTGACTATTTTTTGCATCAGTCGGAAGTAGAGTCAATTCCGCGTCACCGAGTGGGTTGTTATTGTCATTATTTAGAAATGTTTTGAATTCTTTGTAATTGTTTGTCTAAGAAATTTCATAATTTGGAAATATTTTGAACATCTTGTCAATATTCTAAATAATTCCCTGGTTTTCTAAAACGTTTGAAATATTCCTGATGTGGATTATGACATTTCCAATAGTTTCTAAATATTTCTAACAGCACTCTACCATTTTTTACCATTATTTCGAATTATTTCTAACATTTTGTAAATAGGTCAGTGGGATGGGAAGGAAGTAATTCACACATCCCTGTGAAGTACAGGGTAGACTGCCTGGGTGTCAGGCATTGATGCCTTACAACAAAAGAGCCACCAGTGTCCAGCAGTGAAATCTAAAAATATACAAAGGAAGACAGAAGAGTAGGATTAGCACCTACTTTTATGGGGGCAATTACCCACATCTACCATTTGGTTATTTGTTTGAAATAGTTCTAAATATTTCGAATTGTGAAAGAAACACATGGGTAGTTCAAATTTATTCTAAAGAAAGAGATCTTTGTACAGTCACATTCAAAATGTTTCAGAAATATATAAATGAATTCAAATATATTCAAATTTTCATTTTCAAATTTTTGCAAAATTTAGAACTTTTGTTACTGGGGTATTCTTTTCTTCTAAATAATTCAAACGTATTAGAAACATGGAGAAAAAACCCACTCGGTGACGCGGAATGGACTCTATTTCACCCAGACTATTTCAAACAACTGCCCAAAACCCTCCCTCAACGGCTCAAGGGTGAAAAATCTCCAGTCAAATCAACATGCTCAATGGTAGATCGAAACCTATGAGCTGGCGGAATTCAATAAATCCAATTTAGGTAATTGCATCCCCCCTCTACAGCTATCAACTCACGACTATCTATCCATTACTCTACTGTACATCAACACACCTGCTACGGGCAGTCTACAGTTATATCCATCAAAACCGGACCAAGGAGGCTTGAAATGTTTTGTTAGGCCACACCAAGTAAATTCTATGGATGACGTCCTTTGGAGACCCTAAATTTAATGCGAGAGGGCGAAAAAAAAACAAGAAGGGCCCTAAAAAACAAGATGCCTAGATTAGAAATATACTATTAAAGAGACGACAAATGTTAGGGCACAAATTGAATGAGCTGGCACAGTGTAACAAGCAAGAAGTCTTTTATTCATCATCAAAACAGCAATCAGGTGGAACAGCAGTTGTCGTCCTGTCCTGTTTTCGTGTTACGGGTTTCACGTCAATCTGACGATTTGCAGCACTGTCATGAATTTCTTTGGTCATAGTTACAGGAAGCGGAATTTCTTGGTTTTTTTTCTAGGAACAGGCCAAAATCAATGCGCGCGCGGACATCATCCATAAAATTTACTTGGTGTGGCCTTAGAAGCTTTGACTCAATACAGTGTTGTTTTTATAAAGTTTGATGTAAATTTGACTCTCAAGCAGAGGTTTGGGTTATTTTTGTCGGGGTTTCTTTTTCAAGTTTTTGCACTTGAATTTTTTTTCACCATTGGGAAACCCCGATAAAATAAGCCCCAAAACACGCCAAAAATAACCCAAAACCCAAACCTCTGCTTGGAGAGTATGTAAATTTACCAACTGGAGGATGTTATATTACATGGAGGTCCCATGTTTGAGGAGAGCCACACCCCACACATGCTAAAGAACCCACCACACCTTTCGAAAAAGAGTAGGGGCATGCCCCGGTGGTCCAAAATCCTAAATACTACTAGCTATGAAGAATATGGTGAGGTTTACATTATTATCAATAAAGACCCTAATGAAATAAAAACACATTGTGATATAATGACTGCAAATTACTAATATGACAAATATGTATGATTTTCTACAACTTGTTGGCTCAACTGTTGAGCAATAAAAACTTTAAACACCGGACAAAAAATTACAGCAAAAACTAGTGTTGTTTACAGTAGCGCAGTTGTTGTATGGTGGGCGTGGTCAACCATGACAGGTGCACACAAATAGGGGAGGGGGGAGGGCGAGTCTATTAAAAAAAAAAAAAGACCGGTGTCTCAAGGGTGACAAGAAGTAAACATTCTTGAAGTATCAAAACAAGGCTGTCAGCGGAGAACCCAAGACGTATGCCAGGCCCAAGGTCTTGGGTAAGTCCAACCGACAAGTTTGGAAAGTGGCGATAAAAAACGCTAAGTGCTGTCAAAAACTCGCACGTACAAGCTCAAACTTCTATCTTTCCTTTGCGTTTTGTATGCAAGCGGGTGGAAATGATGAAAGGAAGCGCTTGATCCCTTTTTCTGTTGCTCTGTGTGGGGGGAAAGAGGTCGTGGAGTTGACAGATGGGTCTATAGGGACGGCTGATCGCTTGTGGTCCTCAACAATCAACCTACGATTCAACACCACCGTGACATTTCGATTACAGCAACATCAAAAAAAGCCGGGGGTTTTCACCAACATTTTCCTCCGTAGAAAACACTTTTGTTACAAAATATCAACATTCTGTAGTGCATGGCCACGTATATTTGACGTATCGCCATCCCTTGCGTTATCTGAGAGATAGAAAGGCCCGTTATCTTCAACACTACTACAATCATAAGGAGTACTACTCACCACGTTTTGTTGAGCTTCCCCCGCCATGTTTTATCAACAACCAGTCACACTTCGGAATCTTTCCTCTTCTTCGATGTAAATAAAATCCCACGGGAAGATTTTCACAGCTTGGATGGCATGTTGTTGGGTTTTTTTTCCTCGCTGAGTATAAAATCCTGGTGAGAATGGCTCCCGTGCGGAGTTAGGAGAGCTAGCGGAGGTTTTGTTGTGAACGTGCGGCTAGCGGTACTACGACTGTGCGATTCACGCACAGGAGCGGCGGTAGGGTCAGGAGCAGGGAGGTGCCACTTTACTACGGGGTGGGTAGCGCCGCAGGGACAATCCATTATTATACTCTCAAAGCAGAGGTTGGTGGGGGAAGATTGCGACCTTTCTGAGGGTCTGCATGGGGGGCGGGGGTATAGTGATTATACTAATTACGCAAAATTTTCACCGCCTATTACGAATTACGTTAAAGTCTCAGCTGATTTAATACAACTTTACGCTTTGTGGCTAATGTACTATTACGAATTACGTTGATTTTTGGGGAGGCTGCCTAGCCTACGGATTACGAAGACCAAAAAGGGTTTTTAAAAAAAGGCCTGATTACGCCTCAAGAAAAAAAGCACGCACACACTCCTTTCTGTGATGATATGCCCCGTTTTCTGATATGATAGAAAGGTCACAATCTTCCCCACCAACCTCTGCTTTGAAAGTAACAAACCAAACTAGAGAGGCCGACATTTGCTTGGGAGCAAATACAGCATATTTCAGTCCATCTCCCTCCCACGCAAAAGTGGTCTATTCCAAACTTACCCCAGTGTAAAACTGGTAAAGATTCTCAAATAAATCAATTATATAGTAGCTATGTAATTGAGAACAAAGATGCAAGAACAAGCACATTGAATCTCGAAAGCTTTACTATTACTAATCTTATTACAGGTATGCAAATACTAATAATGATGAGATTTGATACATTTTGAAGGTCTTAGGTACATAAAATTGAATGTGTGGGTCATTCCGCACGACTTACGTGCAATGTGACCTCAGGTAACCCGCAATGGAACATGTGTTCCATGGATGGAACAGGCCATTCTTTAGATAGAACATGGAACGGGTACAGCACTTTTGGCCCTTTTTTTGTTGAAAATAGTCATTAAAGTCCCCCAAATGAGTCATTTGGAAGTGGTGTATGCCAAATATGTGACTGATATTCTGTAGACACATGTTCAAGGTACCCTTATACCGAATTTCAGATCATTTGGTTGTAAAACCAGGGCTCAGGATCCAAAAATCCATTTTTTGGCGAAAAATGCCCCAAAAAACCTTCATAAACTTTTTTCAAAGGCATGTATCAAAAAAATGAAAAAAACGCCTGGGGGTATTGGCTCACTCTACCTCCATGCCAAATTTCAAGTCATTTGGCTGAATGATGGCGGAGTTGAATCCCTTTGACTGTGTGGCAGGAGGAGGAGAAGAAGAAGGAGGAGAAGAAACATCAGAGAACACAATATATTTCATCCATACCATGGTATGGACTGAAATATAATCATGTGATAGAGGTCACAACATGTGTCATATTAGTTTACGTTGAAAAATGATGCCAAATAAATTTGTAACAGTTTTGTAGCTATTTGCTAAGCGTTGGGCACCACTTGCTAGTCCCCGCCTGTTGCTCAGGAGTGGATATGCCCCCAGACCGCATTGATATTGAAATCGTGACCGTGACTTTGAACTGTTACCCTGGCTAGGGCAGACGATATAAATTATCACAACAAATCGATCTCCAAGCAGATGTTTGGAGGGTACATTTTTCGAACTCATTTACTTCTAATTCAGGAGTAACCCAGCTTTGATATCATTTTGATTTATTGCAGATAGAATTACAATACATCTCCAATTGCTTACAGGATCAACGAAAGGCAACATTTGCAAATCAAATGCATAATGTCTACCTTCGCATATTGTCTGCTCTGTGAATTCTTACTTTAACACAGTATATATGGTGACAGGAGTCTAAATCCCTCCTGCTATAAAATTGCAACATGATGTAACAATGTAACAACACCAGTTACCATGGTGACAGACGTCTGGTTCAGGTCATTGACATTATTTGTTTGGAGAAGAAGAAACTGAGCAAAAACAATATATTTATCCTTCGGCAAACATAAAAATAGGCAAGGTAACAAAACCAGCTATAAAAAGAAATCATATTTCTACCCCTTCCACCCACAGATAGCCACTGGTCTTCCCCCTGAATAGACCAAACCACCCAAAGAATAGCGGTTCCTTCTAACATGTCTAACATGTTTCCTGAAACAAGCGGTCCCAGGAAATTCCATGAAATTCCGGAATCAAGAATACGCCTTGTTCTGTGCACTCTGTAAATCCGAATAACGCGGTGTAACATTGGTATTCAGGCTAGAGATGTTGTGATAGATTGAGAGGAATGTAGACACGTCTTTGAACCGCATGTTCCTGAGCCCAATTTTTGTAGTTCCGCTCCAGTTATTGGCTATTTGCCAAGTGCAACTCCTCTGTATGCTATAACTGTATGCAATCAGTATTACTGCAATGTACAAAATTTCCGCTAGAGGATGTGATTGTATGGTCTACTGGTGCGGCATTGTTGGCATGAAAAAAATAAACGGCATAAACACTTGTACTACATTATTCAAGGTACTGATTGATAGATTCTTCTGTGTCCTTCAGGAGATTGCATGTGTCAATATCATACAGATTGTTTTATTCAGAATATTTCAAGTTTTGTTGTCTGAAATCGCATTTTATATAGCTTTCAGGCCCAACAGATGACAGGATTTTAGCCCCCCTGGTGGCTTCCTTCGTACTGCAACAGAACTGACGGATAAACCCTTAAAACACGCAAAACGCACGCAAAAAAAACATGCCCAAACCCCACATCTACTTGGAGATGAGGTGCGGGATATTTACAGCAGTGACGTCACGCTATGATGCAATCCAACAGGTCAAAGGTCAGATGACTCCAACTGTTTTGAATGTTAGGCGGTCTTCAGTTTGTCAAGATCCTCGGCAAAAACGGCTGCACGGTGGGTTATTTCAGCAATTAATTGTGTTTTTAAGTTCCATAGTATAAAAACACACCGTTTTAGATAGAAGGGATATGCATAATAGTATTTTATGGTGAGAAATAGAGAAAAATTGTGGGGGGGGGCGAAAGTCTTTTGCATTGCGAGTGTTTTTATAAAGTGTATGAGTTTTCAACGATTTGTCGCACTTTCTTTTTCTAATTAAGAGATATTCTATATTATTAGAATAGAGGAGGTAACTTGAAAAATTCATTGCATGTAATTAAGTTAGTATCTAGTGTGTATTACAAGGGGAGGGGGGCGTGTACCAACACCAATGAGCTGAGTCATAACTATTTGGAGCTGTGACAGTGCAGTTTAATCATTACCTTCTTGTGTTGCCATGTTTTGGGAGAGAACAGTAGTCAACAACTACCTCAGAATCTGCAGATGTAAGCTATATGCAATATAAAATGCATTATATGCTGGCCACTAGTACTGAAAATATGTCACATCCAAGAGCAAAAGGAAAGCTAGGTAATCATCTTCATCTATGTTGAGTGACGAAATACTGTAGGTTTAAAAAGCATGTCAACAGAAAGTACTGCACCTGCGTGAAACCCCAATTTTTCACGGTTTTCGTTGGATTTTTGGTCAACGTTGAATCAGAATTTTTTCTATCTTTTCCGACATAACATTTGAAAACTACATACAGGATGTTAACCTTAATGCGTGAATACGACCTTATTATATATGAGACGTTCTGCCAAAGTGCTATGCGCAGTACATATGCGATTTGCGCAGGTGCAGTACATTCTGCTGACGTGCTGGTTCAAAAACTGTTAAGAAATCGAAAATACATGTAGAATTTTAGGATCACAAGTCAATAACCATGCCATCTTGTACTGTTGTAGTAATAAGTTGCATTTTTTCATTGAAACCTTTTCTGTGTTCACAGGTTGATGACAGAGATGTTAACTTCCTAAAACACAAACAAACAAACAAACAACTTCCTACAAAAACCTGAAACCTCCCAGCCATGGAGCCCAACCAGAGCGCAGCGACACCCGAGCCCCCCTCCCCCACATCCGCAACTTCAGACGACAACGGTTCGCCAGACTCCAGTCCGGAGATGAACTTTGACCCTGACGCTGCCGACCTAACCCTCCCGCTGACCCCGTGTTGGGCGGTAAGCGATAGCCACAGCCCGCCCCCCTCCCCCTCTCAACTCAACCGAACTCTCACCTCCCCACTCGAAGCTCTAGCTTTAAACAACACCGCAAGTTCTATCTCTTCCCTACACGGGTCACTAAACGCTAGTCTCAGCCCTCCCCCCTCCCCGTGTGGACTCCCCCTAACGTTAGAGAACCTCCCCCCTGAACTACTGCTGCACATCCTGTGGTATCTGGAGTCCAAGTTCATCGTGTGCGTGCTCGGACGGGTCAGCAAGTTCTTCCACGCGCTGGTGTCGGAACCGATCACGTGGAAAATCCGGATGGGGAAACGCTGGCCGCGGGGGCAGCAGTACCCACCCATGGAAGGTAGGGGGCACTGTTGTCAAAGCTACTCTGAACTACACTTTGTAATTAGAATGTAGTTTATACAATGAAGAGAGAGCTGAGCTTTATAAACTATTGCAATGTATGTTTCCCCATTTCATACATCTTAGCAACACAGATAAGGTCATATTTCTAATGGCTTTAGACAAACCTTCGATTATAAAACACATCTGTACTTATATCTACATCGTTACTAAGAAGCGAGAAGAAGCCAAATTATCGTAATTATTAGACTATATGTCCATAGTACATAGAATTAGTACTAGCTTATACATTGTATATATATATTCATTGCAAACTGTGATGTCTTTCCTGAGACCTGTACTGAACCCAGTGGGTATTTGCATACAATAAAGGTCTTCACTCATTCATTCATTCATTGAAACTTCTAAATTTCTACTCAAGTCAGGACTCAAAATTTACACCTGCAACTTGCAGAATAATTCTTACCTCCATATTTGGGGATGAGGCTTTTTTTTTACAAAACTGCAAGAAGGCAGTGAGAGAGTACGGAAGGATGTATATTTCTAGAACCATAAAATCTCTGGTATCTTGTTTGACATTGCAGAAAAAGCTAAAAAGTTACGGGCTTGGTATAATAAAAAATCACAGCAAAGTACATGTATACATACATACATATAACGTTATATGTGTATTTTGTATAGTTCCAGATGACTTTAACTGGCAGCAGGCCTGTATGGAGAGAGAGGAGACAGACAGACTCTGGTCAGACCCGAAGGAAAACATTCACCACTTCACTCTGGACGGGCACTTCGCTACTGTGGATGCTGTGCATCTCATTCAGGTATGTATACATACAAATGTAGAATCGTAGTAAAACGTTAATTTTTATTCCAACACACAGTTTACAGAGAAATAAAAATTTTCAGCGACCACTGTCGCCTTCATCAGGATAATTAATGACCAATCACTTCACAAAGTGATCTCGCGAGAGTTACGGTTTACAAACACGTGACCTTATTCACACGAGACTTTACTGATACGTGACGTAAGCAATTGATCATAAGTGCCAGGGAGTTTATATCATCCACCATCTCTATTAAGTGAAGGCTGATATAAACTCCCTGGCACTTTTGATCAATTGCTTACGTCACGTATCAGTAAAGTCTTGTGTGAATAATGTCACGTGTCTGTAAACGTAACTCTCGCGAGATCACTTTGTGAAGTGATTGGTCATTAGTTATCCTGATAAAGGCGACAGTGGGTCACTGAAAATTTGATCTCTCTGTAAATTGTGTGTTGGAATAAAGTTTAACGTTTTACTATGATTACTACCAACACAGATGAACTTTCATGATATGTAGAGTCTGTCATAGTAACTTCAGGGTGTTTTCACTTATAAACTTTCTATCTAACAATAAAGCAGATTGTTTTGTAAGTTTATGTATTGTTTAATGTCACATTGTGTTGGTTTCATTGTTTTCATGTGTAACTTGTTGTCACGTACAGGGCATGCCTGAAAAGCAGTGTTTTAAATAGCACTGAGGTCTCTACCCTGTATAAATAAAACAGAAATGAAAATAAAAATAAAATAAAAATAAGGTGCTGATGGCCATGTTGTTGTCCAATTTGCATTTCAGTGGGCTGTAGCTGAAGTGTAAAAACATAATTTTTGTATTATGTCCAACAGAATGGCACCATGTGTGTATCTGGGTCCAGAGACAGGACTGCTAAGATTTGGGACCTGTCCAAGTTGACCGCGGGGGAGCCTGTTCCTACTGACGCTGTGGTCAAGTCACTGGAAGAACACAAGGTATGTGGGGAGAAAAATTTGGTTAGGGCCTTTGGCCCGATTTACATGTACACGGGGCGAAAATATAATTTGCCTTGCATACACTTTGTGCGACAGATTTTTTAATCTCCTATAAGCTCCTATAAGGTCAAATTCGTGCACATCCGTCTGTAGTTCTCAAATGTAATGTCGGACAAAATATCGTCTGCAACATGGAAAATTCTGATGCATTGTTGATCAAACATCCAACAAAACTGTGAAAAATGCACGTTTTGTGCAGGCGCAGTACGTTCTGCCGACGTGCCCTCATTTTGAATGTTTTGGCGCCCCAGAAATGATATAAATGACTTTTGTCTCCTATATAGGGATGGGTGTGGTGTCTGTCCTCATTGGACAACGCCCTGTGCACGGGATCATGGGATACCGCCATCAAACTGTGGGATTTGAACGCCAACTGTCAGCTCATCACGTCTATCAAGGAGCGCTCCGCCATACTGTGTACAGAGATGTTGCCAGACATTCTCATTGCTGGAAGCTACGACAAGCGTATTTCTATTTATGATGTCAGGGGTAGGTGTTATGATTATCCATCATCTGTGATTGCAGATATTGCTTACCTTAAGTTACATTGTTAAAGTTAAAGTTAAAGACCCTTCCCGCATCAAGTGACGCATAGGGCAGCGCCCATCTCATTAGCCCTGGGCCACACACAGCAGTCACTACAGCAGGGGGCTAGTCCACTGGTAGTGGTGTGTGTTTAACTCCCATACTATTTCCCTAACGCTGAGTGCTAAGCAGAGAAAGCCGTATGTACCATTTTTAAAGTCTTTGGTATGAATGTACATACCTAGGGTATGTTGCAGTAAAAATATCTTTAAGCACACTTATATTTCTTAAGGTGGCGATATTATGGACCCTGGTGATATTATGAACACAGATGTTACAAAGTATCTTTTATATTATTATCATTATATCTGAGAACAATTTTTTTTGACACAGCGGACTACCAGCCAATCACGACTCTCCGTCAGCACCAGAAGCCAGTGCTGTGTGTAGCAGCAGACTCAGACTACATCATCAGCTGTAGTGAGGACAGGACTGTGAAGGTTTGGGACAGACGTGCGTGTCAGGTCTACAAGACCATACAGGTGTGGCCAGATGTCTTTTGGAAAGAAAGGTTGTGTTTCCTGTTTCAGTCCTGAAAAAATTAGGGTCAGTAGGTTAAAGGATTTTTATGTTTACCAAAGGAAAACATACTGTTTTTGCTCTGTTTCTTCTTCTTTTCCAAACACTGACCTCTGACCTGATCAATGACCTGAACCAGACTGTCTCTCACCATGGTAACTGGTGTTGGGTTACATCATGTTGCAATTTTATAGTAGGAGGGATTTAGACTGCTGTCACCATATATGTGAATGTGTTTGAGTAAAAATTAGCAGAGCAGACCATATGCAAGAGTAAACATTGCTTTGCAAATGTTACCTTAAAGTTTCTAGTTTTTGTAGTGAGATACATTTTTGTTGTTTCTGCCTTAGTTGGAGAAGTTCTGTATGTCCATGTGGTATGGACAGGGGATGTTACTGTTGGGAGACAGAAGAGGACAGATACACATGTACAGTACTGGGGACGGCGGCTTTGAAGAAATCGAAGTAAGTACTACTGTAATTCCTGATTTTTTTTGCAATACTTTTATGTTCGTGTTTTTTACAGTCACTTCTTTACTGTTAGAAATAATTCACTGACTTTTTTTTGTGCACCTGCCCCCACTTTGAACATGTAGTTTCGTGAAGACCTCCATTTTTGCTACCGCAAACATAAAGTGAATTACAATATTCAGTTCAAAAAGCTGGACATTTTTTGTGGTGAACTTGAATTACTAGTACATTCCATGATGCACACAATGCAAATTTGGTGCTTACATTTACATTTTACTTCCAGACCATTGAGGCTCATGGCAACAAAGTGACAGGCGTCCACTACACACTAGGAGGACTTTATACCTGTTCTACTGACAAAACTATCAAGGTAGGTCTCCCAATAGGTTCCAAAGGGTTCCAACCAATGAGATGTCTCCAATATCCACCAATGAAATGCCACCAAGTCCTTCCGCCAATGAAATGCCACCAAGTCCTTCCACCAATGAAATGCCACTAAGAGCTTCCACCAATGAAATGCCACCAAGTCCTTCCGCCAATGAAATGCCACCAAGTCCTTCCACCAATGAAATGCCACCAAGTCCTTCCACCAATGAAATGCCACCAATTGCTTCCACCAATGAAATGCCACCAAGTGCTTCCACCAATGAAATGCCACCAAGTGCTTGCACGTAAATGTTATTTACTATTTATATTCCACCAAAATGTTGCCAACAAGTAATGAGATGGTACCAAAGTGACCATACTAGATAACATGCCTTCTAGTTGTACTTGAATGAGGTGTGGTGCAGACTACTGTGATTATGCAATGAAATGGCTTCAGCAACGAAATTTCACTAGAAATGTCCATGTTTTTCACACATTTTCTCCAGGTCCATGAACCATGTAGCCAGCCCAGTGCTATCTGTACCCTGGCAGAGACAAAAGGGGAGGTGGCTGATGTAAGTTTCACATGTATTTCTATTATACAATATGAGAACATTCATCAGTCAGAATTGTATATGATTATGATTGTTAACTCTGAAATTTATATAACGGATCAGTTAAATGCTTGACAAAATAATGAACTTGGATATTATACAGAGTACATAGTTGTTTATGCTAATGAGTTAAATTCTTAACTTCAGGGCAGACAGTACTATTAGATCTTGCCATAGGAACACATGCTTAAATACACTATTTCAACACCTCATGAAAGTACTTGCCCATACTTCAATCTCAAAAATTTTTCTGCACCAGGTAGCAACAAGGGTCTGATTCCCAAAAATAGAAAGGAAACAGGGGGTCGACCAGCTCAAATTCCCGCCACAGCTGATGATAGTAACAAAACCTCAACTTTGACCTACATTTTCCATGGTATCCATCCGCCTGGCCAGACAAGACCTAACCACTCACATCTCTCACTACGCCCACTAAACTGGTGAAATAAACAAAACTTGACCAATGTAGGAAAGTTTAGACCCTACCTGTGCCTTCCAGCCCAAAAATCTCCAAAATGGACCAAAACTTTCAAGAGAAAAAAAGGTTTTCAAAGGTATTAACTAGGCACTACAATCGTGTTCCCATTTTGAGGCCTCTACTGCGCAACGCAAATGTGGTGTCTGCCCTTTAACCATTGACATAAGTTGAAAGTCAAATACCTTATTTTGTATCTGTGTTGTTATATTTGATAAAATTGAATGTCTTTTATCGCACAGATCTGTGTCCAGGCTGGTGTCATCGCCAGCGCTCACTCTGACTTCTCAGTAGGGATATGGAGACCTGCCATGTAAACAACAACATCAACAAAAACAACAAAAACATCAATCAAAATTATAGATCCTTGTTCTTGTGTACCTGTCACAATTGATTCTCATATTACACACACTTTGATGTGTTTATAAGCTGCTGATTTACCAAGCGTTTTTGTTGTCGTTTATTATAAACAAAATGAACATTGTACTAAAACAAGTAATAGCAAGTCTGTTTTGTATTGTTCACTAGTGTGATTGTACTCAAGGCATGGCTCAATGAAAAATAATATAGAGACAATCTGATAGTAACAGGTTTTTACTTTTTATTACATGTATGTTTACTGAAGGAAAACATATTGTTTTTGCTCAGTTTCTTCTTCTCCAAACAAATAAGGTCAATGACCTGAACCAGACATCTGTCACCATGGTAACTGGTGTTGGGTTACATCATGTTGCAGTTTTATAGCAGGAGGGATTTAGACTCCTGTCTGACCATATATATGAATGTGTTTGAGTAAGAATTAACAGAGCAGACCATATGTGAAGGTAAACATTATGCATTTGCTTTGCAAATGTTTTGTTTCTAGTTACTAAAAAAAGAATTATCCTCAGAATGACAAGACAAACTACCCAAGACATTTTTTTTGGGGG